AAGCTTGCGAATTTTTATGCGATACTTGCTAAACAACTTGTGATCCTCCTCCAAATTCAGTTAGCTGGCTATTAACTCCTTGGTGCTCAAGTATAAACTTCATAATATTATAGATTGCGAAGTAGCTGTAATGAAGATTAAATTATCAGATGATCTGACAGCAATAATTGTCCTATTTGATTTCCCCCTAAATCAAAATTTCTTTTCAACTTAACTTGATACCAACGCTTGTTTTAAACTTCTAAACGAGACTACTCTATCAAAATTAGGAATAAATCAAACATGTAATATAGATTCAGATAACGAAAAACAATTAATATTGAATATCGGTCACAACCCCCCACCATTATTCCAGGGGATAAAATTGATTTTTTGCCAGGTTCATTTGGCCACAAAAATTGTAATGATAAACTATTGCATTTCTTTTTAAATGAACTTGAAAATCCTACAAGCCCATTCGCTCCTATTATCAAATATGATGTACCTACTTATCCTATTAATCCTTGTGATGAGAACATTATTTTGATGGAAGAGAAACTCTATGATGGTTTACGAAGTTTTATTTCCTTGTCATGGGATTTTGTTGTGTAGGAGTAAAATGGAAATGGCGATCTTGCTAATTTCGTTACTGATTTAATAAATTTCCAATTATTGGATCTAACAATCCCAGAAAAAACATTACCAATCCAATCTAATGTAACTTTAATTCTAGTTGTTCAAAACTTTGTTTTAAAGAAAACAGCATATCAAATATTAATTCAAACGCATGCAGGATAATTTCCCAGTATTTTTTCAAAACTTAAAAGATAATATTATCCTTTTGAATCTATAAAACTAGCTTTCACTTTAGTTAAGAAAAGTTGCATAGAAAGTTCAACACTATCAAATGATAATTCTAAATATTAAACTAAATTTTATGAAGTCTATAGAAATAACTCTAAATCTAAACCTTCAAACATCAGTTATACTGACTTAGTTAATTCTAACTTATTGGAATTTATTATTCAACGTTACTCATTAAGCGCTTGGACAGCTTATACACTTCAATTAACTATTTCAGATTCTTCAATTTAATTTTATAACTAATAAAATTTAACTATTTAGATCAAATCAGCAGGAATCTTCTGCCAATTTAATGGAACAAAAAAATTGCTAAAATACTCAGATTTTACAAATATTTATATTTAATGCAAAGATCTCGATATTTAATAGAATTGGAATGAAGATCCAAATTTGTTAATAAAAGTCAGTTGTTTAGATCTAACTTCACAAAAAGAATGTAAGGATTCTAAATAGAATAACATATAAATTAATTCTACTTAAACAACTTAGTTTTTTCCCAAAGCTACTTTTTTGCCATTTACAATTTAAGCGTGGTTTGTAATTGCAAAAAAGAATTCATTATCCTATTCTTATAAAATAATTATTGTATATTTAGAATATCATTTCTAAATTCTAGATATCGATTTTAATAATGGATATTTAATAAGGCCTGTCAATAATTATGAAGATTTATAATTTACTTTTAAAATACCTTTTTAGAGTAGATAATACCTTCTACATTATTAAATCGCAATAATTTAGTGATTATTAATTAGTAACAATACTTAAGCCCCAATATTACAAATATTCCTTTTAATTATATGATTATTATTAATAGTTTAACAAAGGGGATAAATTTCTCCTTAAGTTTTTAGCTTAATATATTAATGATATCATGCCTAATCAGGTGGACATAAGCCTAAGTTTAAACTAACCTCCAATTTGTATATTTCAAATGCTAGAATAAAATATCAAAGCTTTAGAGTCTCATAAAATGGCAATTAATTATGAATAATCTGAAGATAAACCTTATCTCTATCAAATGAAAGTTTTTTTATTTACTGATGATTTTGAAGAGTTTCAAAATAAATCTTCAGACAATTCACTACTTTTCTATAGCTTTTAGTAATCTAATAATTTAGTAGGATATTTTCCTAATGCAGAAATAATTATTATATTTTAGATCATCGATTAAAGAGGCTCAATAACAAATATTCAATAGCGCTTAAATATATCGCAGACTCAAATAGTATGTACGAATTAAACTATATCTCAATTAGTATTTAGGGAAAAAATTGCATGGATATTTGAAATAATGATTAATCATTAAGACGAATAAAATTGCGTCAGATTGAAGGATGAATTATTAAAATATGTTGAATTAGGATTAAACTCTAAAGATATATATGAATAATTATTGGCCCATCAAACAATTAATCTATACAAAAAATTAATAGTAAAATAGTAGGCTTCAAATACTTCAAAGAGATATTTAGAATGAACTTATTAAAATGAATGCTTCAATAACAAGTCATCTCTCTTTATTAGTACTAATTAAGAACACTTCTAGAAAAACAGCACCAATATTTCAACCTTAGTAATATAATCTGAAAATGTTGAAAAATAAATAACAAAATTAATAAATATGAAGGTAAATCTGGAGAAGTAAAATGGACAACATAATATAATTGTTGATACTGAGTCAATTATGTTGATTAAAAGTCTAGTCTAGATGCTATAAATTTCAGTACATTTGATAGATTATTAATTGCTAATTATTTCTCAGAATGAAATTTCTGCAGAGAATTAAGAGCAAGTAGCAAAGATATCTGAGAAATTAATTTCATTAATTGATAATATTACAATGCATATTAGTGAAACTGCGAAGTGAATGGCTAGGTTTTATCGATTCAAGGAATGATTTTGAAATTCTAATTGTAAAAACTTACGAAGTCATAGCTTAATGTAAATTTTTAAACACAAAATGATTAACTAGATTATTTAATTGCATTCATATAGAAGTAATAACTTATAGTTGGTTACAATTACTATGATCTATCATAAACTTACAGAAATATTCTTCAAATTTACTTAAATGAATCAGATTTAGAGATTAATTAATATCATTACGTCAAATCGATTTTGACTAATTTTCTTTATACTAATTCCTAAATTAATCAGCAAGAATTAAGTAGTTATTATAGAATTGACTTGACAGAATTTTGATATTGTGATCCTTCAAACCAGTTTTCTACAGTTGTTGAATATAAATATTATTGTATAAGTGATATGACGGAAAAGAAATTTGAAAATTGTGATTTAGAAATGGAAGAAATTAATTATCAAAGAGCACAACTGTCTTGTAAATGTAAATCAATAGGAACCTTATTTTTGATAAAAATTGCTCAATAATCAAGAAATTAAAATAGAAATACTTTAGAAAATTAATTTTAATTTGATTTTCAATCAATTAAATTAATTGATTAAACTTTTCTATTTGTATAGTGTGGAGTTATTTTAACAACTTTTTTTATTTATTGTTTCCTATTATATAAAGAGTTTAAAAGTTAAAAGATGATTCATGAGGTAGAAAGTTAAAGTTAAAGTTAAACTGAAAAGTTAGATACTTTAGAGCTAGATTAGTAAGCGTTAGGAAGAAGATTTTATCCAGGACATATATTTATGCTTAAAGCAACATTCAATGTAAAATTGCTTAATTATTAAATAGTATATCCATTCAATATTGCAATTTTTTTAAGATGAAGAAAGATATGTGAAAAAAAGCTTTCAATTTTTATAGCTTAGCAATTTAATAAGTATTTTAATATTAACATCCACTTGGTAAGTTCTAGTCTCTAATTTGGTAATAATTAATGCATAAATTAACCTTATTATTGTATTAGGTGTTAGAACAATTTCAAAGATATTTCAAGCAATTTTTTAGTTAGGAGGTAAAACTGCTATAGCAGTTGTAATACTGTATCTTTGCCTTCCTGTTATGTATCTATTCCTTACCATTTTTGTATTAAATTAAATGTATATTGTTAACTCATATTAGCGAATTAAATAAGAATGACAAAGATGTTCAAATAACTTTGAATCTATTAAGCACTTTATTTTTAGTTTTTTTCATTTTTGAGCCAATTTCAATTTATGTAAGAATAGTTTTATACAAACCTTTCTTTAACAGTGTTAAGAAAAATGAATATATTCCAATAAACCATTTTATTTATTTCTTTCTCTATCATAGTAGAATAAATAAAATTTATGATTAACTAAATATTAGATGAATTTATAAATTATTAATTGAATGAAATATAAGCACTGTATTTTTGTGACTAGTTTACGTTATTATAATATTTCATAATTCTTGATCTGCTTAGTTAATTATGACTTCTTTAAAATGAACGATATGGAGCATCTAGTTAAAGTCCTCTAGATGAAAGTAAAAATATTGTTAATCTCAAATTTTTTTCATCTGGTTTTTGACAAGATAATTTAATTTTCTAACTAATTGTTGATAAATTTAGAATATCTATGCTGAATTTCAATGTTATGATCATAAAAAGAAAAATGAATTAATTTTTTTGCCAAAATGAATTAAAATATGTCTTCATTCAGTGACCCTTACAATAACAAACTAACAAGATTAATATAAAACCCATTTTTCACCATTCTATTAAAATTCAGTTAAACAAATACTATTGCATTAATTTGTGAAAAAGTAAATATAAAATGTACTTTTAAAGATAAATTGTTATTAATCATTTTTGAATTTATTTTTTGTGGTTTTCACTTTCAATAAATTTTCTTGTTCTAATAAAATTTCAATCTAAATTCAAACTGCTTTTAATCGAAAGGAATTATTTATTAAAGCCTTATTTGAATTACGACAATATTTCTCAAATTTTCAGCCAAAAAAGCT